TGCTCACGTTCGCCCTGATAGCTGAAGCTACCGGCTAATCTCGGTGCTTTCCTTCATATAATACAAATTACTACTACGGACTTTCTTCATCACCACCAAGACTCGCTTTTAGTAACATTCGCCTACAACGTTTACTCAAAACTCAATCTTTGAATCCTTCTCCTCCAAAGCTTCCAAACAAAAATAAGGATTCTTCTTCAACTGAAGAAACAAATTCTCACTTCATTCAATTCACGAAACAACTCCAACGTGCATCCGGTCCTGGGGGACGGTATCTATTCCACAAACTACTCACAGGATTGATCATGTTCTTACGGACTACTACGCCCCCATCGAATCTCTCGAACGATGCAAACAATTCGTCGGGGAGCACATGGATAAGTAGCACTAGATCTTAGGCATCCAATCAGATGGCATTCCACCATGGTTCACTCTTGGTAGTAATCAATAGAGAAAAACATGAGATCACTCAGAATCATCACTCTAGCGACGATTCACCTTATTGCTTTCGGGCCTTCTTCTTGCTAGTCTCCTTCCCCCTCTCTTTGAGCTTCGCCGGCAAAATCTCTCTTTCAATGTCATTATTCTTTGCAGGGGGAACGCACACTGGATCTTCGCTAATTAGTGGGGGCCTCTTGACTTTGCACCGCCTCTATTGTCACCTCTTAAATATGACTTTTTCCTCTCGTCGCATAAGCATCTCACTAAAGTGCCTAGCCTCTGGAAGTCTCTTTGGTCCTCCTCCGCAAATCGTCTAGTTTGTCAATGCGTTAATCACTTCACTGTATGTGGATGCGAAAGCATTTCCCCGTTCAACAAAGTAAGGCACGAAGCATATCATACTCCTCATCGGGTAAGGAGCCTAACAAGATAATCATCTTGTACTTGTCGTTATTCTTCTCAATCCATGTTCGCCAAGTTCCGACCAATAACTTTGTATAGTTGTTCACATGAGCCGCTAGTTGAGTAGGGCCTGAGCACAGCTTCGGCTTCGCGGTTGCGTTTTCCAAATTTGAATAACGAACCTAACCGCATATAATTCAAAACTGAACCCGAACCAATTGTAAGTCGGTTCGGTGCGTTTCTTGTTAAGTTCGTTACGGTTCTAACTTGCATTTGTCAGAATGACTTAAACAGTAGACTTGCCCAATACTAAATCAAATAGAAATATATCGTGATGGGCAAGCGGATCCACGAATATAAAATTTAGTAGTATTTCAGGGGTTGCCTGACTTAATTGGAAAAACAAGAGGCGTGGGAAAAGGAACAAAATCATCAATCCATGAAAACAATATTAATACCAGAAAACAAGATTAAGGATCATTATCAAAGCCACAAACTCAGAATCATAACGAGAATAGGCAGATGCATAAATGAGCCAAGAAACTGATTAGGCCCGTGATATCTCAACTTACTAGTTGTGCTACCAAGGAAATAAATTAAAAAATTAAATAATCATTAGTCAGGAGCTTGAAGAGAGAAAAAGATAAAGTTTATCACCTTGCGCCATCGCCTGGTGACTGGTGACGGGTGCTGGTGTCCCCCTAAGCCGGAGACAGATCCTGAGCCCTGAGGAGATGTTTTGGGCCTCGGCCATAGATTGCACCGGAAGTGAGGAAGAGGAAGAGCGAAGTGAGAGAGGTGGACCTGGAATAAGACTAAGGAGTGAGAGAGAGTGAGAGAGAGGAACTAAGGAGGCGGCTGGAAAAGGGGGAAGGGAAGTTTAGGTATTTAGGGTTTGAGAGTATGAGACTTTGTCTTTGGGGACGGGTCGGGTTTGAGCAGATTGGGTATTTAGACCATGGGGTATTCGGTCGGTTCGGGTTGAAAAGTTTTCAACCCAACCCGAACCTCCCTACTCTTAAAACCAATTTTTTTGGGTCAGTTCGGGTCGGTTCGGTCGATTTTTTTGGTTTGGACCGAACCGTGCTCGGCCCTACTAGTGAGGTGTTCCTGGACATCTAGAATCAAAATAATCTCTGCATTAAGTGCAATCGATTCTCAACACTCTTTGTAAGGTACTTGTTGTTAAGAATCTCTCACATCTTCATCGCAGACGTCACCCCAATCATATCGTATTTTAGCTCTTATTCCAAACAAGACATGATCACACCACAAACGTTCTTATTCATCTTGTTATATATTGCCTCATCGTATTTCGGTGGCCTCTAATGGACCATGATGGTCTCTTTCAAATTTTGAGCATTGAGAGTGTCATATACGTCGCTCATCCACAAACCAAAATTGATCTTGCCATCATACTTCACTACACTAATCTTAGTATTTTGAAGTCCAACCTGAACTGTAGTCATCATTGTCTTGCTGCTTTCACCAACTTCTTCTCTCATGCTAGCAAACTCCAAATTGTAAAGAAAGATTCAAATTTTGATAGAATTAAGAAATTACCCAACTAAACCCTAGATAGGATTCCAACACGATCTCCTAACCACATAAGAAAAGCGAGATCCCAACGGCAATTCCGCAACGCTATCTCCACCGAAGCCTAGAACTTCAAAAACCAAGCTTCAAATAATAAATCTTCCTCCACCCAATGCAAAACCCCAGATCTAAAACCCTAGACCTCTAATATCAATTGTTACGCGCCGTGCAAAAGCGTTCTTGCGAACCAAACGAGTTGGTATGCGATGAGAGAATAGAACTAAACCAAATACGAGTACAATTCACCAAAATACGACACAAATTAAACCAAACACAGAGATTTACGTGGTTCGACAATTACCTACGTCTAAGGGAAGAGGATGAGAAGATTTTATTTTATGGAGGAGAAATATAACGGGTTATAACTTACAAAATCACTCAAATATAACTCTAACCAAAACTCTCAACTCCTTCACAATATCTCCCTCTCAAAGTGCTCAAAGGACTCACAATTCTCTCCTTAAGAAACCCTAAAAACGTATTTGTATTTTTACCAAACACCAATTCAAAACCAACTGGGAAGAACAAACTGGCCCAATTACCCGCTTCGCGATCGACCGGACACATGCGACCAGTCGACCGGCCAGAGGGCTGAAAAACAGCCCAGTAATATGCACGTTTTTAAACGACCGATCATACATATTCGGTCAACCGACTAGTCTGTCGGTCGACATGGCATATGGCATGGATTGACCGACCCGAGGGATTTTATATTCTCGTGTGTTTGCACGATTTTCTCAAATCCTTTGCCATTTTCTACAGTTTTAAATGAGAACTTCAAGTTTAAATTTACATACCCTCATGGACTTTGTTTATTTCATATAATCCTCACAAATGTTATTTATTTCACATAATCCTACTAAACTTTGTTTATTTTATATAACCCCTCCTGAACTTTGGAGGTCCTCATAAAATCCTCTAAACTTTAATATTTTCTCACCACACCCCCCAACATACAATTTGTAAATAGCTAAAATATGCTTGAGACAAAAAAATTCCATATGTTATTTGTTATTTACAGGAAATACAATATGTTAGGACCATGTCTGTACAATTGACTTAGTTTGATGGATAAAAAAATTTTATATTGGTGTAATATGCATTTGAGATGATGTATGCAGGTTACAAAAAGCTAGAATCAAGTTTGATACTAAAAAGAGCAATGTAACAAGTTAATCACAGTTAATTCTAAAAATAATCAGAGGTAAAAACCATATTTGAGCATATAGGAGTGCCCATCTCTTTGTTATGGATCCATAAGAACAAACAGAATTTAATTCGGAGACGTACAACTCGAGATATGGCTATTTTAGTGAGACAACGTCAAAACAATCAGCAGCACCATAGAAACAGACATGAATGCTGAAATTTACATGAGCCATAACTTTTAACTTGGTTATAGTAATAGATTTTTGTTTGTGGGAAAATTTGTAATGATGAAAATGAATGAAAGAATTGCGTTTGACTTTATTCTCTCTATAGGCGATGAGATGCCTCCCTCGAATGCTTGCGTGAGTTGCTTCTCGTTGACGATCCGAATATCTTACTCACTGGAACAACGGTCTAGTCTGGTTGATAACTCTTGATGAGTTTTTGTTTTCAGAACAAACAACAAACTCTAATAATGATAGAGTTGTTTGAACCGAAAATAAATTCGGTTAATGGGCCAAGTAGCGACGGTTTTGAGCTCCTCCGCTTGTTGATTCCTCAGACTGTGTAAGGAGTCAATCCTCTTTTCCTGATTCTGAAAGATCTGATCTCAAAAGTCCAACCCTCGATCTGATTATCAAAAATCCGATCCTTAACTCTGTTGAGTTGTTGATATTTATAGGGATTAGGGTGTAACTGCCCCCATAATCCACGCCTAAATGGGGGTTTAGTTACCCATTAATCGGGTGTAACAACCCACGTAAACCACTCCCTATATCGTGGTAGAGAACAGCTTCGAAGTTGTTACGATCACGTTTGAATGAGTCAGAACGCCTGACTTGCGTTCTGGCGGTGATTGGAAAGAGCTGCTGTGACGAGCTGCGTCGTGCAGCGATAGAGTTGCGTTGGCAGCGATTTGATGAGCTGCGTTTGGCAGCGGTTGGTAAGCTGCGTTGGGCAGCGATGGAGCTGCGTTTGGCGGCGGTTGATAAGCTGCGTTTGGCAGCGGTTGATGAGCTGCGTTTGGTAGCGGTTGATGAGCTGCGTTTGGCAGCGGTTGGTAAGCTGCGTTGGGTAGCGGTGGAACTGCGTTTGGCAGCGGTTGATAAGCTGCGTTCGGTGGTGGTTAGAGCTGCGTTCGAGCTTCTCTGTCTTTATATATGGATGACACCAATGACCAGTAAAGAAGGTCTTATTCAGGCCATTTGTGACAATTGAGGCATCTCAACAACGCTCTATCAACTGCAAGTCACGATCTTCACTAAGATTTCTTTGCATGGTTTAACCATGTGCTCCTCAGTGTGTCGAATATCATTACACTGCTCATCAGCATCTCTAATAGTTGCTAATATAATATTAGTCATGTTTTTCTCGCAGCCATCGAGATCAATCATCTCACATAAGCAGCTGTATTTTTGTTTGCAGCGGTTGAAGCTGCGTAGGTAATCAAATTGGTGTTGTGTCTTGAAGATGGTACGTAGGGAGGACTTTCACGTCTTGGTTTGAAGAGATTGTCGATTTGTAATCTCTTTCTGTCAGAGTGTTGCTAAAGATAGCATTCTGGAAGTCGTCAGATTGTAACTTCCATCATCGGTGTTTGATGGGGAATCAGCTATCTATTATTATTTTTAGACAGCCTACAGAACCCCCTCCAAAGTTTTTGAAAGTTCGCGGTTGACTGGGACGAATTTTCGAAACACTTTGGAACCCAAAAATTTTGTTGATCAAATGTATCTTATCGCAGATGGAGTGGAGCATCTTCGTTGACTTCTTCATTCTCTTTTGGTTCATCCGTAATAACTTGGGCTTTAGCTTGTTTGACTAGTTTCGTCATCTTCAGGGGAATTGGACACTTCTGGGCTTAAGACAGATCTATTGCCATAGACGGAGAGAGCCACGAGCCTGTATAAGAAGGACTTTATCCCCAGCTTAGTCAGAAGGATGACCTCGGAGGGATTTACTTCATCTTCTTTCTCGATCAGCTTATCTGGGGTTATTGCTTGGAATATTAACCCCTTTAAAAGGGTTAATTATGTGATAGGCTGAGGTTGGTCACCAGAACGCATGTCTAAATTATGCGTTCTGCTGTTTAAACGTGAGGGTGCGTTCGGAAATCAAAACCCCCTTTTTTGAAAACGCGAGAATCACGTTTCGGGTGAGATTTGTCTAAAATCCCGCTTCGATTTGACAGCTATAGCTGTGTATAAATGGGTTTTTGAGGTCAAATCAAAAGGTCATTCGACTTTTCCCCTCTATACTCGATTTCTAAACAGGGCTCCTGTTTATCTTCTCCAGCGCTTCAACGGAGGAAAGGATCCGTTCCTAAATACCTCGCCCATCTTCGTCTTCATCGCCACGGTTGCCATGGGACTCAAGAAGAAAATGGCTTCTAAGTCGAAGACCGCCCAAGCTCAGGATGTTCCTTCGACTAGAGCCTCCGGGGATGATCGGATCCCCACGCTTTCGTCGCTGGTTTCTTCAACTAATGGTAAGGTTGAACCATTGGAAGTTGGTTTGATAGATCTCACATCTTTCGTCGCTGGTTTCTTCAACTAATGGTAAGGTTGAACCATTGGAAGTTGGTTTGATAGATCTCACATCCCTGACCCCTGATTGACGATCTGTATGGTAAGGTTGAACCATTGGAAGTTGGTTTGATAGATCTCACATCCCTGACCCCTGATTGACGATCTGTATTTAAGCTCAAGAGATAATTCTGGGCTGGTAATCAATTTTAAGAAAACACATGGCTAGCTCCATTGTTCATGAAATTTCAACGCAAGTTCAGACCCTGCGTTTAAAATCTTGGATGCGGGTTGAGACCCTGTTTTTTAAGGATCTGGACGCAGGTCTGAACCTTGCGTTCTAGATTTTAGATGTGGGTTGAGACCCTGCGTTCGAGAATCCGAACGCAGGTCTAAACCTTGCGTTCAACAATTTGGCTGTGGGTTGAAGCTCTGTATTTAATGATCTGGACGCAAGTCTGGACCTTGCATTCTTGAGTTAGACGTCTTCTGACTAATTCTTCTATTTGCAGTGTGCTACTCCAACGAGCCTCTTTCGTTCAACTACTACTTTGGTCACGCGGGAGGTGCGGTGAAGAATACAATCTTTAGTTTTGCTTTCGAGTATCCAATATTCCAAAATACCCACAAAGAGCGGGCGAAACTCATTACTCAAGCTTTTCCCGAGACTCTCAGGTCTTTGGTTACGAATGCTAAATTTGAAACTACAGAGCGTGAGATTTTAAAGAAGCCATCCTTCCTATTCGGGGATTCTGTAAAAATGGACCCAAAACGGGTGTCGGAGGGGAGCTACAAATGGCTGAGGACTGTCAACAATCGTCGCCTTTTCCTTCCAAACTTGGAGCGAATGTGGCCGATATCTTATTATCAGTGTGCTTCCATCCCGCGGTCGATGAATTGGGAACTCGTTCAGGACCAAGGAGGTGTTGCCACGGGGCACATCACTCATCGGGGCACACATCCGGCTGGTTTCAATAATTTTCTGGCTTTAAAGCCGGGTTTATTCCAAAAAGAGCATCCTGTCGGAGAGCCTACTAAATTAGCGGAGGTGTTCATTAGAACATTTATTTCTATCAAAGGAGAGTTCCCTGCTTGGGATTTCAGGGCCCCTACTTGGGTTCACTCCAGCGATGCGGACTGGTAGGCCCGGATGATAAATTTCGTCTTGGATGAATTAGAAGAACCTTTGAGGATTTCGGGGCTAAAGGTTCCAATAATAGCCACTCGATATGGGATTTCTCCAAATTACAGCGGACTCTTCGCTATGTT